GATACACGAACTCATATGAAAGAAGAGTCCAAAATGAAAGATCTCGGAAATAATTTTTTTTTTGTTTGGGTTCCAGATTGAGCATCTTTGTGAAGGAATATTTTTGCATCAATCAAATTATACGAAAAAACTATTGAAACGCTTTTATATGGATAAAACGAATCCTTTAAATATTTCCATAGTTACTAGATCTCTCGATGTTGAGAGATATCATTTTAGACCTTGTGAAGATAATAAAAAGATATTAGGCGTTGACGTACCTTATTTGAGTGCTATCAGTGGGCTTTTGAAATTATCAGAATTTAACGGATATGGTATAAATGGACATGGTATAAATGGACGGAGGCTTTACGGGACTGAATAGCCCAATTATAACATCCCTAACTATGGTGCGCAAACTTCAGCTTCAATGAAGATAACTATTAATTGCACAGCCAATCCTCCTTCTGAATATCTTGAGGCTCTTTTGGATTTTATACAGATCCCAAATTTTAGTTTCAGTAAGAATAATTTTTTGTTTGGTAGAACCACTAAAAATAAATTTCAAAAAAGTTATTCTTGAATTCACTATCTAGGATGAATATATAGGTTTATCTCCAAGATAATAACCAATAAAAACTGCTATGTGTCACATATTATTTATGAAAAAAAAAATGAAAATAATATTAATTACAAAAAAATATTTAGCATTTCAAGATTCTAAATACCTCAAATTCTAGACACTAAACCCCAAGTTTTAAGATTAGCACTAAATCCTAATTTATACTTTAAACAATAAACTCTAAACTCTATGAAATGACTCTAAATCCTAAGGTTAACCCTAACCCTTAGAGTTAATTCTAAATCCTGGTAATTGGTCAACTTAAATAAAACATTTTTATGACTTTGAATCTTGAGATTTAGATTGGGAAGTAAAAATTGGTTTAGATCTATCTAAAGCCATTTCTTTAAATAATATGATACATGATAACTTTTCATTGGTTATTAATCTATGGGGTTAATTTATATGTTCACCCTCTCGAAGAATAACTCGTTTCATTATTAGTAACGTTGTCTTCTAGTTATTTGTGTGGTTATGTTTGTTTTCTTCAGTCGTAATAAACGTACGGACCTCTCTGTAGGATCTTGTTTGTTTTCTTCAGTTGTAATAAAAGCAAGGACCATGTTCCGCATATAAACTACGTACCATGTTTTTAACTCTGCAAAGATATAAATGTCCCTTCTGAGTTTTTCACTTCATATGTAAACAAATAACAGAATAAAAATCAATGATGACTAATGACATGTGAAAGTTGAAACTACTATTTTTATAAAAGAAGGTTTATTTTCTTCAACGCTCTGGTTAAGAGTTTAAAACAAGTGACGTTTGACTGAAATATATAGCTTAAGCATGCAATTCATACCCAAGAATCTTTGAAATAACACATTTAGCAACGTCGACCACGTTCTGTGTTCTATTTGATCAAACACATGGTTCAAGGTTCTTGGTAAGTTGGTATTGGGACGCCAGAATCATCCGTCAGTTTCTTGTAAGCGCTTTGCAATCTTCTTGTTACCGGTCCTACTTTTCCTTCACCGATCACTCGCCCATCAATTTTCACAACCTAAAAGAGCAATGAACTCAGGATTAATAAGCGTCATGAAACAAACCACAAAAGTGTTTGCAATTAACTAGAGACTAATGTATGTACCGGGCTAAGTTCTCCCATAGTTCCTGTAGTCCATACCTGAAAAAACATTGATATGTTGAAATTAAATCTTCACTTGGATCATTTTAAGATTCTAAAATCAAGGAAAAAGATGCGGAAACCTCATCAGCTGTATGGAATTCAGACAAGCTGATGTTTCGTTCTTCTAAGATGAAGTTCTCTTTCACCACCAGTTCCATGACCTAGACATTGATGAGTTTGGTTATGTTGTATAGTCACTGAGAATGTTAAGAATAAAGAATGGTAAAAATTCTTCTTCTCTCTTACGGTAGCTCGGGTGATGCCAGGGAGACAGTAATCAGCACGGGGAGTGAGAACTCTGCCTCTCTTCACCATGAACTGCATCAGACACACAATTACTCCACCATTCAGTTGGCTTTTCTAGAGAATAAGTATTTTCGATCCGAGAATATTACAATGTTGGTTGCATTGGTTTCAGAGACAAAGCCATCCTTGTCAAGCATGACTGCATCATCCACGTTGGCATTGTTGCTTTCAATCTGTGTCATTTTCACAGAGAAAGCATCTTACGCTGATAAAACATGATCACGGATTAAACTCGATGCAGGGAGAAAGATGGAACCTTTGCAAGGATGTTGTTGAGGAGGTTGTTGTGGTGAATCTTAGAATCTAAGCTCTGGAAAATAAGAGAAGAAAAAGAGAATAAACAACAATGGACAATAAACACTTCATGGGAGTTCAAAAGACTTATACGTTAGGTGAATTGCGGCGTGTAGTTGCAGTAACCAGTACAATTCCACCATCATTGTCATATACAGGAGGCTTCCACTCGGCCAGGACTACATCATTTCGAAGGAAAAAAACGATATTACTAACACGATATCATATGCCAAAAGCATATTCCAGAGACTTAGTAGTATGCTTGCAAGAGACAAATCTGAAACCTTACCGATCAAAGTACATCCATAACGGTTAAATGCAGGGCTCATTCCAGAAGTGACCTGAACAAATTCATCATAGCTTACACATATAAGAATCTTCCTGCGTGTAAATTACTTAAATATTGGTAAAAGGTATAAATACTAAACTATACCTTTTTGCCTCGAGTTAGAGACAGTCTTATATGTGTATTGTCAAACATTCCATTGGTTATGAGAGTTCTGAAGATGGCTTCTTTTACCTCCTCGCGGGTTGGGACATTGTTGAAAGCCAGAGCCTTTGCTGAATCAAACAACCTAACATCCAATACTTTCAACATATTAATAAGAAGGCTTAACTGCTCAGGTTTTAATCTTACTTGCTTCTTACCGATCTAGATGTTCTTCAAGCTTGAATACTTTCCCTTTGTATATCCTAAGACCTTCCCATACAGAGTCACCGCCTTGCACGACCGAGTCAAAGACGGAAACCTTAAAACAAGAATAAGAGAAGATAAAACATCAGAGTTTCAAAGCAAGCAGCAACATAGCAGAGATCTATGTATGGTTCAAGCACCTTCGCCATCTCACGTGGCAAAATCTCATCACCAACCCAAGCGAGAAGCTTAGCGTTTTCAGGAACTGGAAGACTGGAAGGAGTTAAGGTGCTGGCCAAGAGAGATGATTTGTGCTTCATGTGGCGCCTAAGATTGTTGTATAGCGGTAAACATTGCTCCAGCAAATCGTAATGCTTCAAAGGGAATGTCTGAAAACAATAGAACACACAATGTAGTTTGAATGATGATTTTGAGTTCCAGAATCTTTAGTTGTACTAAACTCGGACTCATACATGAGGATATTTCCTTGGAGACGAAAACCCTGTTGATTTGTGAAGAGTCTTGTACCACCATGACGCCCATAATCCGTCTTCTGGAATAGGACCAGCCTCCCATCTTCAAGAAGACCACAAAACCAATGAGCCATTGTCCTACTTGTCTACGGTCAAATCCAAGAGAAAGCTAAAGAGTCTTACTTGAGCATAGAGGCTTGAAACGGTATATCCAAGTCATTGCAAAGACCACGTAATGTAGCCTGGTCATAGATGAATGATACAAAAAAAATAAGCATCTTCTTACATAAGTGAATAGAGTTTCTTGTCAATGTTTTCATAATACAGCAAAGAAACCTCGGGATCTTGCTGAAGCTCATCTGCATCGACGATTGCTGGTGGTGTTCCCATCTGACAGAGATCACTGTATATCGAAACTAACTCTCCCAATCCCAGTTCAAAAAATGATGAACTGTGTACCTTCTCAAAGGAAGGCTGCAATAAAATTTCGAACAAACAATGAGAAGAAACATCTCAAACCTTTAAAAGACCAGACACATAACGTCAAGGTGAACCAGTTCAGCAGAATTGAGTTTTATAAAGCTAACCAATATGTTAAGGGGATTGCGTATCAAGATGAAGTGCTTTCCTTTGCTCATTAGCTCACTTGGCAAACCAAGAAGTCGCTGTTTCGATATATGCTGTACATAGAAGGGCCAGAAAACGCAATACAAATCACAGTTTTATCCTAAGCGATAAAAGAACGAAACTGAAGTCTCTAGATCGGAAAGAGAAGCTATCACCTTACAAAACTTATATTTCTTGTTTCCTGGACCATAGATGATGTCCTTCACCACCTTTTCTCCATCACACTCCTACAATTATGTTTAAAATTTCTCGTCAATGAATACACTACGCATTGCCTTAATGGATTGAAACCTGAATCAATTACTGACATACCATCTTAGAGAGAAGCTCATCTCTGTATGGCCTCTCAGCACCTGTAGCCTTGAGGAATGCAGCGTATAATGGCTCGTCGAGCACCTCAGTGTCATCTCTCTGCGTTATATAAGCCAAAGTTACAGCTCACACCCACAAAAAGGTTTTTCAGTGAATCAAATGTTAATATTATTTCCATCATCAGAGATTGAGAGAGAAACCAAAAACTATAACTGCAGGAATACTCAAAGTCTGTTGTTTGTACGGGGAAATCTATCAGAGGGAAGCAAGAAGAAACAGTACCTGGGCAAAGGAGTACATGAGACTGGTGCTGAGTGATCTTGGAGCAGACCATGCGTGAATCACCTCCATTACAGACGATTGCTTTGAAATCAAACAGAGTGATCGCTATCTACTCGACTTAGGTATTGTCATTTCCTTTGTCCGTGTCTCTCTTTATATAGTAACCAAACCAGAGAATCTTGACCTCTCATGTAAAAGAAGACAAAAACTTTATTGGGAAAAGATCAAAAATTTCCAAATTGAATGATTTTTGTTTCAATTAGTTTAAGCATATCTTATCTCCTGCCACATCGAATTTGGTGAGTGATGATGTAATAAAATAAGTCATCAAGATCGAGATTCCTTCTGTATAACCACTAAATCAAATAATTGATATCGACAATGACATCAGATCACTGTCACAGTCTCAGTCTCAATGAACAGAATAAATAAACATATGTAGAAGATCACAAGATGATAAGTTTTCCTCAAATAAAAACTCTAGCGTTTTGTAGTAACACGCAGTGATAGTGTTTTAGAAAGCCTTGATCTGATCTGCAACCGCAACCAGATGAAACGCTCAATACGATTTATAAACCACCAAACCTTTGACCTGATCAACCAACTACCATATTCGAACAAGTTTCAAAGAATCTGTAATTTCAATTGTAAAGAAACTAAAATGCTTAAACTCATTATCTGGAGGATATGGAGAAGAGCCGGACTTTTGAGCGGTCATACGAATGCATATAAGGTAAAAGCTCATACGGAGGTTTAAGTTCTTCCGTCAAGTCTGTGATAGAAAGGTTCATTTGATCCACAAGTGTCAAGAACGCATTGAAAGTGTCTGCATTGCGGATCACAGATGCGATATAAGCCACTGCAGGGCTGCGTCCTTGCAGTGTTGTGGCTCTATTTTCAGTCTCGAAAGAGCCATTGTCTCTTTTAATTGGTCTTCTTAAAAGTGCTACTAGAACACGAAGTAAGTGAGGGAAACATGCCGGATCATAGATTACATCTGCGCCTAGACTGATAAGAACGTAAGGTTAGTGACATAAGCAAAACATCTTTTAACAAATGGTTATCGGTTTTTTGCTCACACAATATCTGGACGATACTCGCTCACTTCACTATCTGATGCAGTTTCCCATGGGAGATGAATACATTTAACTCGCTGCTAATGGAGAAACAATCAATTAAGTGAATCATATATACTCTGAATCAGAGAGCACAAAGAAACTCCTACTCACTGTATTCTCAGCTTCTCCGGGTTGTTTGAGCAGCTTGTCATCATAGTTTAAGTGATTCCTCTCCAAATTAAGCTTCATGTTAGACAGAGTTAAGAGATCTCCGTCTGTTAGTATCACCTGCACAAGATAAATTTTGTGACCCAACATGCCTTCGTACATATGATGAGAAAGTTGGAAATAAGTAATGAAGGATACCTTCTTTGCCTTTACATGTGCAAGACAAATTCCGACCAAACCAACTCCAGAACCAACCTTAAACCACATCATGGAGTGAACAGAATTGATCAGAACTTAAACTTCATCAGTCAAAACTTCATAATGTCAAACTAACCTCAAAACAGGATTTATCAGTGAATAACTCTGGATATGACAGAACAAACTCTGACAAAAACAAGCTCGAGGGCCAGATTGAACACCTGCTTGACACACAGGACACATGGTCAACGATTTAGAAAGAGACTCGTGCATCTAAATGAAACTGTGGCAGTCAAATAATCACATGGAAGACTCTTACCCGGTATCTCCTTCAAGCATGTTCAATGAACACTGAAGCGGAACAACTAATTTCCTTGAACTTGGACAGCTTGGATGTTTGTATAAACCTACTAAAAACAATCCACAGATGAGTCCCCAAACACATCACAATAAGAAATATTCAGAGAAAGAGTGAACACACGACTTCACCTTCTGGGAAAAGAAAAGAGATGAACTTGGTGATCCTTATGTTTTCTTTCACCAATGCATCCTCCTAAACACCTATCCAAACTCAGTTTTGTTTTCCACCAATCACGAAAATAAAACAAGGAAACTTCAAAAACACAAAAAATGTACACCTTAGAAGCTGTTGACATGTGAAGAGCATACTCTTCATACACTTCATCCAACACTTCACCTTTCTTCAACTCAACTTCATTTATAAGTTTCTTCAGTAACCTTTTCGCGTATGATGAGTTACCATTAGCAGCCTACATACACATATTAATACTAGTCAAGTTTCAATCTTGAAAAAAGTGATGCCAACTGATCTTAACATAAAGCTTCTAACTTTCTCTGACTAGTGCATAACGAGAGCAAAAGAGTAAACTTTACTTACAGCTTGAACACAAGTCTCCCAGAGAAGCCTCTGGATGCTCTCTGTAAATGATCCTCCTGAACACTTTCTACATAAAAAGGAAAGCAAAAATCAAACGCCGGAACAAATCAAACAAAGCAGCTCACGGCGGCGACTATACCTCGCGAGAGCAATCACTGAGTCCACCGGTTCCATTGCGAGGAATGCAGAGAGTACATGAAGGTACTGTGGCTCTGCCTCCGTCGAATTCTCGTTCGCCGCCGCCATGACTTCGCCGTGTCCAGCTCGGAGAATCGCTTTAGCTGTTATAAAACTTTTGGCTTAATGGGCCTAAAATGATTGGCCCATTGTACATAAATGAGTAAATGAGACTTAAACAACCTTGAATTTACTAAAGTACCCCTCGCCTTGCACCTTTTGTCTTCCTAGTTACCTTCAAAGCTAGTTTACAACTTCTTATCCATTACAAGCTATGATGAAATCTTCTTCTATCTTCTTCTTCGTCTCCACATGGCCATTCTACTTCACTGCCTCCGCTCTCTTCATCCACCAAACCTCAAGCACCATAACCCTAACAGACCCAAGACTCTTTCTGCATCTCTTGAAGTCCCCACCTTTCGGAGAGATGTGGTGCTTAGGACAGCATCTCTCTGTTTCGTCTCCTTCGTCTTTCAGAACCCACTTCTGGAGTCTTTAGCTGAGCCTTCGAAGTCTCCCAAACCGGCTAGACTCGCCATTGCCAATACAAACTCTTGGTTCCAGTACTTTGGCGATGGTTTCTCAATCAGGATTCCACCTCAGTTTGTTGACTTCACTGAGCCTGAGGTGTGTGTATCTCTTGTGAATGCCAATTAATGTGTGACATTCTACGATAGATTGTGGAAAGGCTGCTCGATTAGTCCTTAAAGTTGTAGACCTATGTTGTTTCTGGCTGAAAAGTTTGATTCTTTGTTTAAATTTAGGTTTTATTTTGGTGTATCTCTGGTTAATTAGAACACTTGTTTAATTGCCAAGTTGGACTAAAATCAATGGTTGTTCTAGCCAATATTTATTTGGCGTTGAAGAGGTCTTGTTACAGTGAACTGTGCGTTTGATTAATGATCATTGTTGTTCTTGACATCGTGTGTTACCTCATGATTTAGGATTACTCTGCAGGGTTGTCTCTCTATGGGGACAAGGCAAAGCCAAAGACTTTTGCTGCCCGTTTTGCATCTCCTGATGGGTAATAATTGTCCCTATTCATTCAACTACAATTTGTTCATTAGAAAATTTGTATGACAAATCATGTGTTGATGATGCAGATCAGAAGTTGTGAGCGTGGTCATCCGCCCTTCAAATTCCCTTAAGATCACTTTCTTAGAGGTTTGCACAACAACATTTCCTTTACACGTTTACATTTTCTTTTGCTCATCAAATGCTTTCTGATTCAATTTAGGCTAAAGATATATCTGAGTTGGGATCATTGAAGGAAGCTGCAAGAATCTTTGTTCCAGGTTCTCTAAATCATATGCATCTTTGAAAATCTCTTACAATCTTGCCTTTGAGCTCCTTTCATTCTACTTGCATTTTTGGTTCTGGTCATTGTTTGTTAATATCTTCAACCACAAGCAGGTGCGGCAACGATTTACTCGGCTCGTACAATCAAGGTCAAGGAAGACGAAGGTTTCAGGCAAGTCTCCTTATATCAGTTGGGGAGTTTATGTTCTTCATCTGTTTATGAAAGTCGATCTCCTTGTTGTTATCTTTGTATGCAGAAATTACTACCTGTACGAGTTTGGGAGAGATGAAGAACGTATTGCTCTAGTAGCAGCGGTGAACAGGGGGAGGGTGGGTCTCTACTGCAAACTCAAGATTACTCTTTGAGACTCATACTTGCACATTCATATAACTCACTGAATCATTTGTTTCGTCTGTGTTTCTTGAAAAGGTTTTTATAGCTGGAGCAGCTGCACCGGAATCCAAATGGAAAGAAGATGAGTTGAAGCTTCGATCTGCTGCCATTTCTCTGACGGTCCAATAATTAACAAGCAACGTGAAACGCTCTTGGAGTTCAACCCAGAAATGTATAATTGAAGAGGATAAATTGGCATTGTTTTTGAACACTTTTGAGTCATTCAAGTTCTGTTTTTTTGCCTTTGGTGATGTGATGTTCGTTATTGTAATGCATAAGAAGTCAATATTCTTTTGAATGAGGAGTTTATATTGTTCTTGTAGCGTCCAAGAACGCTATTTTTGCTTATTGTTCTAGGCGTTCCCATACAAGAGGTTTGGTCATCAATATTTTAATGTGTTTTCTGCGGTTGTGTTGTTGGAACCTGCTCATGTTTTTAGCAAATCATTAAAAACGTGCGTCTGCGTTTCCAGAGTTGCCACACGTTTTTAGTCTAGAAGAGAGAGACACATCGAGATACGCTGCTCCGCGACGTAGTGAATCTTATCCACCTTAAACCCTGAAGAACAGATAGATCCTCTGATGTGAGTCGAGATCAACGAAAGCTAGGGTTTTTCTTTGAGATCGAAAATGGCGCTCGTGAGGAGGTTACAGACAGTTCGTTCCTTGCTGAGAACAGCTGGATCAACAGAATCTCCTTCACTTCCGTAAGCAGCTTCCTAACTTCATTGTTTTCCCTTTGATTGCGTTTTAGGAAAATGCGTGAAAATTCAACTATGAAACGTTTCCTGTTACCACGTTCTGCTCGAGAACCTTTTGGAATCTGCTAAGGTCAATTTAGCGCGAAAGATACAATTTTTAGCTTCTGCATCCAGTTTCCTTTACTTCTATGTGAGATGTAACGTATATTAGCTTTAAAAGAATCCATTTTTTTTATCATTTGTTTCCAGTTTTCGGAGTGGAAATGAGTTGGCTTGGACTCAAGCTGGTGATAGTCTCAGATTGGGGCGTTGGAGGAGCTATCATTCTTCACTTTGTCACGGTAATGAATACAGATCCCATTTCTCCATTGGTTTTACTGTGAATTGATGCTTTTGAGTTATTTAGTAATGTAATTGATATTTCCAGTTCCTGACACTCATGGAAAGAGTGTGTATTCACGCTTATATGAGAGCCACAACGCTGCCAGCACACATTTGCTTCGATCTACAATGGTAAGTCACCAGATTCATCATTTGGCTCCTTTTCTACTCTCAAATCTTATTGACCAAACTTTGTTATGATCAGAGACATGATTTTTTATTTTTTCTTCTTGTGTGTGTTTAGATTGCAGAGTCTTTTCCCTTTAGCAGTGACAAAAGGTTTGCTACAACGCAAGTCAAGGCTCCACCTCAGCTACAGAAAACGGTGTGTTAAGTTACTCAATTGCATTTCCTCACTCTTGCATTTTTCAGTTGTTTCATATGGTTTGATGTCTCACATCGCTATTTACGAGTACAGGGAGCTGTTAGAGTGTCAATGGTAAGCCCTGGATTTGTTTACGAGCCCTATACACTCCATGAGAAAATCCCGTTGTGGCGGAGGTATGTTTGGCATTATACTTATTTTATTACATATATATAGTTTGAAAACTACTGTTTTAATGTTAATGAGCTCCATCTCTGCATTTTTTTCACTCATATACACTTTCTCAAGTCCCAAGTAGTGGCAGAGCATGTTTTTTTTTAGAATTGAGTTAACTGCTTTCTTTTGAATTGTAGATGTCTCACAAGAGGCGGTTGGAAAAGAACGAAAGAGGACTTCGTACGGGAGGTTGAAACATCTTCATGCATTATCTAAGGCTAGAATATATGTTCCAAAGATATACTAATAACATGTCAAAACTCTAAATTTCAGCTAAGAAGTGCCTACGCTATCGCAAAGTTAAGAAAGACTGGGTACTCAAAGAATAAGTTCTACGTAGAAGCGGTAGAGTTATACAAAGAGGTATGTACTTCTATACTTGGTTGTTGCTCTTGTAGTGAAACTTTTTTTACAAATCATCTTGAGGTTCTTCTAGCCAACACATGTTTTCTTCAGATTAACATTATGATGGCCAATGGTGACAAGAAGACAATAAGGAAAAACGTAACTGAAAGGATGTATTCTGTAAGCTTTCCAACGAGTTGGTTATCAGTTTTTGTATGTTAAGAGACTGTGCTCAAGTGTTTGTTCAATGTTTTGGTTTCTTTTTGATGTAGGCATTGAAGAACGAAATTAAACAAAGAGAAGCCAGGTGGAGTAGTGTTTACTGGGAAATGGTTGAGCCGGTCATCAAAATCAAAACTTTACAAGCTCGACTGGCAAGTTCTTTGAAAAACTTGATTTCTTTAAAATACATTTGTTGAATCTGAAGCAACAAATCACTTGGGGATTTTCAAGCTCACCCTTATATTTTTCATCCTTTTGACAACTCCTCAGATTGGCATCGACAGGACGGACCTTAACAAAGCATTCATACAACTGACACTTGAGTTTCTGACAAAGCAGGTCAGTGTTATCTTTAGCCATCAGTTTGTTTATAGTGCATTTGAAGCTGTACTGAGTTCTGGATATCATTACTATCTTTAGAAATTTGAAGCATACGATGCAAAAGGCAATGTAGTAGCTGGAGACAAGAAGAAAGAGGTAAAGTATACTTGAATCACTTCGTTTTTGCAATAGGGGCATCAGGAAGAAGCTATGATTGTTTTGTAGGGTACAATTAGTTGGTATCACTTAAAAATAATTGGAAATTTAAGGTTTCCTACCTGCAAGTGAGTTACAAGTTCATTGCTTCTGCAGGTGCTTGTACGTGACATCTGGGTCTTTGAGAAGTCTCTATTCCACACAGGAGCTTGCTGGCGTCTCTGTGGCCGGATTGAATTTCCCACAAAGGATAAGATCCAACCTGCCCTGTGATTTTTTGTGCCAAGTCAGAATTGTCTACACAACTGGCATTCTTCTATTTTCTGTTGCAACTAAAGGGTGAATGTTATCTGATTAGGCCCTAGAGAAATCCGCTTTGCGAGAACCATTAATAAATGCAAAGACATCAGAAAGAAGAATTTGCCTTGTAGAAACCTCGTTGGAATTCATTTTATTTTGTAGCTCCATTTAGCAGAGAATGGTTTTGTTGCTTCTGTCGTTTACTTTGATATCTTCTACTTTAAAAGTTATTGGGTGGATTGTTTATGATCAGGAAAGTGTAACATACTCTCGTAAGGAGTAAAAAGCTAGGTCCTTTAAATGATAAAAGGTGTGTGCTGTGTTGTTGGCTCCATTACTTAGTTTATATCCCCAGCTGAATTCAATTTGTATACAACAAGGTCCTACAACTAAGAAGACAAGTTTTCAACTACTAACCACTCTCACCTACCTGACCACTTCATAAAAAAAAGATGATTTAAAGGTTGCCAAAGTAGTGGATGCTGGAGAACAAAGACTTTAAAATCTTTCTTTTGAGTAGAAAATGGATAGTGTTCAAAAGGCATCTCTAACGTGCCTGTACTAAACACTTTTCTTAAATTATTCTTTAGATTTTTACCTTTTTGTAAGAGAGATGTTAAATAGAGTAATATAATTATTCTTTAGAAAAGTCGTCGTAGTGATCTTTGGTTGACGAACATGATTTAAACGTGATGTGATCCTTCAAAAGGCTTGCAAATAGTCAGTGGCTGCTCTTCCTCTCTTAGCTCTTCTTGTTCTTCTTCCACTTTCGTTGCCCCCTTTGATTTGTGGGAGATCTCTTTGCGATGGAATCAGAGAAACCCATGTTCCAAGTCGAAAACTTTGACGATGAGTTTGTCCAGAAGCTGGTCTATGATGCTCTCGTCTGGTGTTCCCTTCACGGGCTTGTCGTTGGTGACAAAGCTTATCAGGTTAGTTGCCCCCACACCCTCAACTCAAGTTCCTGTCTTTTGATGTTCCAATCATACAAACATGAGGCTTGGTCATGATCTGTTCCAATAAAGTTGGTCTTGTAGCTGATTTGAAAATTGTCTTCCTGTTAAATTATCCTGATCATACTCATAGCCATACTTGATGTGAATTAATCTTAGATATTACTTGTTATGGATGATATAGAAAGAAGATGGTTTTGATGAGAAGTATTTGATTACAGAAATCAGGAACTGTTCCAGGGGTTGGGATGACTCACGCCCCAATTGCATTACTACCAACTCCATTCCCAGAAAGTTTCTTTAAGCAAGCTTGTGAAGTTGCCCCTCTCTTCAATGAATTGGTTGATCGTGTCAGCTTGGATGCCAAATTCATACAGGACAGTCTCTCCAGGTTAGTTCATCTTAAGTCTCTCTCTATCTGAAAGGAGCTGTCTTTGATTGATTCTCTATATGTTGCAGAACGAAAAAAGCCGACATCTTTACATCTAGACTTCTTGATATTCACTCCAAGATGCTAGAAAGCAACAAGAAAGAGGTCTTCTACATTATATTATGGTTTCCCTGATTCTATGGTAAGAATGTTCTTGGTTTCATTCATTTGGTTGTGTTTGGCGTTTGCAGGACATTCGTCTGGGTTTACACCGGTCAGATTATATGCTGGATGAAGAAACAAAATCACTTCTTCAGATAGAGATGAATACTATTTCGTGTTCCTTTCCAGGCTTTGGTCGTCTTGTTACCGAGCTACACCAGTACGTGTATCCATACACCATCCATCTTCTCATTTAGCTTAAAAGGTTTCGTTTTTTTTTTTTACTTCTTTCCCTTGTTTGCAGGTCGTTGCTTAGATCTCATGGTGATCATCTTGGGCTAGACTCTGAACGTGTACCCAAAAACACATCCACTAGCCAATTTGCTGACGCAATGGCTAAAGCTTGGTTGGAGTACAACAACCCAAGGTTAGCCTTATCCAAAGAACATGTTTCCAAAGGTTTCATGTTTGAACATATACTTTTTTCTTTGTTTCAGAGCGGTAGTCATGGTGGTTGTGCAGCCAGATGAACGCAACATGTACGATCAGCATTGGCTAAGCAGCGTATTGAGAGAAAAATATCCACTTTTTATAATGTTTCTTCGCTTTCCGAGGATCGATCTTGACTTATTAGACCATATAAGGGGTTGTTTTGCTCTTCTTTAACTTCAAAACACGCACAATATTGTAACCATTAGGAAGAGTTTAGCACAAGTCGAAAAAGAAGGGAGTGTACAAGAGGATGGAACCCTTATTGTGTAAGTAGTTGTTTTTCAACTCTGTTTTTTTATAGCATTTATTGTTGAAAACTATGTGAAAGAGCTTTTGTTGTTGCAGTGATGGCCAAGCAGTCTCGGTGGTTTATTACAGATCAGGTTATACTCCCAGAGATTATCCGTCTGAATTAGTAAGTAAACTATCTTCTTACCCATATTGTGGCTTTGCTTTTTCTTGAAAATATTCTGAATCAGTATTGTGATTTGAAGGAATGGGATGCTAGGTTGCTTATAGAGCAGTCCTCAGCTGTCAAATGCCCGTCTATAGCTTATCATTTAGCTGGCACCAAGAAAATCCAGCAAGAACTCGCAAAACCAGGTGTTCTCGAGAGGTAAAATGGATCATATCTTTTATCTTGCAGAGAGGCTGAAACTGAACATTCAATAAACAGGTTTATGGATAACAAAGATGACGTTACTAAGCTGAGGAAATGCTTTGCTGGACTTTGGAGCTTGGACGATCCAGAAATCATCAAGAAAGCAATCGAAAAGCCTGAGTTGTTCGTTATGAAGCCTCAGAGAGAAGGAGGAGGTTAGAACCCAGTTGAAGTCTCCTAAAGTCTTCTACTGTACTTCCCCTCATATTCTAAGTTTATGTTCTTGGATTCTTTCAGGTAACAACATCTATGGAGATGATGTGAGGGAAAATCTACTGAGGTTCCAGAAAGAAGGAGAGGAAGAAAACGCTGCGTATATCCTAATGCAGAGGATATTCCCAAAAGTCTCAAACGTCTTCTTGGTGCGAGAAGGCGTTTACCATAAAGATCAAGCTATATCAGAACTTGGAATCTATGGCGCTTACCTCAGGTACAGAGTAGTAAGAAGATTTTGGTATCTCAAGTTAAGTCTCTTCTTAGTATGTTCTGGTGTAATATTTGAGCAAATATTGAAACGTGTAGGAACAAGGAGAAAGTAATAATAAATGAGCAGAGCGGTTATCTGATGCGCACAAAGGTCTCTTCATCAGATGAAGGCGGTGTTGCTGCTGGTTTTGCTGTCTTGGACAGCATTTATTTGAATTGAGATGGTTCTCATTCACAGTCATTCATGTTTCTGCTTCCCTTTGTCCTGTTCTTCTTGCTTGTTAAAGATATGTGTACTATAAATCATAAAGACAAAACATATGAGGAAACAAAGTTCTTTACAATTATTTGCAGAAATCATATATGCTTCTTCTAAACTTCTGTTTTTTTTCTTCAATAAATGCTTGTAGAAGTAAATTAAAAATGATATGCAGATGTTAGTCTTAGAACTAACTGAGGAAATAAATGAATTAAGGTGTTCTAAAACAACTGAAAAACTTACTTTTATTAATTAAAAAATATCACCATCATAACATTCAAAGGTAGTCAATTACTTCCACTCTAGTGACATTTGCGTGTATCCAAGTTTTGGCCAAAAAGATGTTGACGATGAATCATTGGTTAATCTCGGTCCTGAGATGGATGCAGCAGAGATGATCTCTCATGCTTTGCAAGATTACAATTATAGTATGCTCAAGAACCTCAGAAAAAACCATAATTTATATCAGAACATGCATGGATAAGATAGGAATGGTGGTAAAAAAATGTAATGAAAATGTCATTAAGAAAATTCTTACGAAGAAACATGTGTTCTAGGGAGTGTTGTTTGAAGCTAGTAAAAGCTGGGAAAAATACTACATGGAGATTAGAAAAATGATGTTTCACTTTTATCAACTCAAACATCTTCGCTTCTCAAGTTTCTTTCAAAACTAATGAGGTTTGAAATAGTTTTTCTATTGAATGTGAGAGTCTTTCATCATCTCACTATTAAGATTTTCTAGTTGAAGATTTGTTATAAAATAGTTATATGATGTATTATAAAATAAAGGTTTGTTATAATATGATAACTATATATAATATATAAAATAAAATAATCAGTTCATTCGTTTTCCTAACTTTAATATGGTATCTTTAGTTGTCCAAGGTAGTATTTTTGGCTTAGTTTTTTATTTTATCAAATATTAAATCTAACTGCAGATGAATCTTGTTAAACAAAATCATATTTTTTCTTGAAACTCAAATAAATAATGTTGTTTGGCAATCTATTTAATCTATAGAAAATATAAAAAGTGGGAGAAAAATATAAAAAAAGGATTTGCCAAATATGACTCAAAACTTGATTTTAAATGCAAATGTGTACCCCAACTCAAATCAAATGCAAAAGTAACTCAAAAGGCTAGTGAAATTACAAACATCTCCTCATGACTAAGCAAAAAAACAGTATTGTAGTTTACTATTATAACCCTGCGAGAGCAGACTTCCCTGAAAGTCTTATCATGATATAGATCTTAAAAATAATTTATAAGTTTTATAAAAAATATGTTGATTAGTAAAAAAATCTTAATCATGTTATTATTATAGATATTTATAAATGATGTAAATTTAGATTTACTAAAACTGAATAGTTTCAATATATGAGTGAACGTAATTTAGTATGTATTCTTTTGTTTAGGGTTTGGTAACTATGTTATAGTACTGTTTGTGTTTTAGGGTTAGATTGTAGAATCTTAATTGTTTAAAAAAAAATCCTAAATTTGACCTATATGTGTTTAGTTTTGTGTATATTAAACACTTTATAAGTTTATTTTAGGTTTAGTCAAGTTTTTGTATGTGATTTAGTTATATATTTGATTTTGTGGTTATGGAAAATTTAAATTTTCCAAGATATAATGCACTAGAAGACTTAGTGGAAGACTTAACTACCTTTTCGTGCGTAAAATTTTGGGAAAGTTGCCAAATATGACTCACAACTTGATTTCAAATGCAAAAGTAAACTCAAAATTGAATCAAATGCAAAAGTAACCTAAAAGGCTATTGAAATTACAACCAGCCCCTTGTGAACAAACAAAAATACCAAAAAAATTTTACGTTTCTTATCCGCAAGTATTATGTCCAAACGACTTTCAAGTAAGTCGTCTGGCTTGAAAGTCCTCTAGTATAGTAATTCTTAAAAATAATTTAAAAAATTTGTAAAAATATTTTGATAAGTGAAAAATTGAAATTATGTAATTAACATATGTTTTAAGAGATATAAATTAAGATATAACAAAATTTAATTGTTTTCAACATAGATGACCTGAAAATAGTGAGTCATGATATTCTTTGGTTTAGGTTTTACCAACATATGTTGTAGTATTGTATATGTTCTTAGGGTTAGATTTTGGAAAGCAACAATGTTTTTTTGAAAAATTTAAAATTTACCTAAGTGGGTTTATTTCTGTGTATAGTAAACACTATTTAAGTATACTTTGATTTTATAACGTGGTTAGTTATTTAATTTAGTCAATTTAGTTTAGGGTTTAGGGTCTGGACAACAACCCAAGGTTAGCCTTAGCCAAACAACATGTTTCCAAAGGTTTCATGTTTAAAGATGTACTTTTTTCTTTGTTTCAGAGCGGTAGTCATGGTGGTTGTGCAGCCAGATGAACGTAACATGTACAATCAGCATTGGCTAAGCAGCGTATTGAGAGAAAAAGCGCAAGTATAATGAAGTTATTTTTATTTAATAAGATCATTGAAAACACAAATCTAGAGAAACTTAACCAATTATAAAACATTTTTTAAACTTTAATTGGTAAAAGAACTTTCAGAAGCGAAAAATTACATCAAAAAATGTGAATATCTTATATTTTGAAACATCAAATATTACTTAAAAATCTTTCTTATTTTCTGAAATGATGGGATTATAATTTGTGGTAGAGGTGGATAAAAATGAATAATATTTTTCCCAATTTATTTATTTCTTTGCAGACCCATATAAAGAAATTTTAATCCCAATTTTTAAATAAGAGGAGGCCAAACACAATTAAGTTTTTTAACTAGCCAGCAAAAAACATCCCAAAAAAAACATGACTAAATTAAACTACCTTTGAATCTCTTTCTCCCAAAGAGTAGAAACTACTAAAATGCCAAGCTGTTCTAGAATTGAATTTGGCAATTATGTTTCGTTGTGTGAGGAAAAAGGTTGAAGTACCTTTGGAACCAAGGCTTATAATTCAAGGGAAAACAGAAAAGATTAATTAGAAAACTCAATCTAGAGAAGTCTCAATATTAAAAAATCCTATCTTAAAACTTTTTCCAAGACACAAAGAATATATACTTCCTCTATTATTCTTCTTTGACGGTGTGAGATGTTTCACAACAATTAATACATGAAAGGATTTCATGAAAACATATATTCAAGATTCGGTTAGTTACAATTAATGCATGCAACATATAAGTAAATTAAAAAGAATATATAGATGTTACTTTTAGGGCGAACTGAAATAAATAAATGAGTTATGGTGTGTAAAACAACTGAAAAACTTACTTTAATTATTTAAAATTATCACCAGCATAACACTCAAAGGCAGTCAATTACTATATATATACACACTTATATATTTTGGTAATAGAAGACAAAAATAATTAAAATAAGAAAGTTAAAAAGAACAATTATAGAGAATAGAACTTAAGAAAATTTTTATGGCATTTTTCATAACTACCACTGTGGTGACATTTGTGTATCCAAGTTTTGGGCAAAAGAATATTGACGATGAACCACTGGTTAATCCTGGTCGTGATATGGATGCAGTGAAGGCGATCTCTCCTGCTTCGCAAGATTACAATTGGGATATGCTCGAGAACCTCCCAACAAAATACATGATGTATATCGAAACCTGCATGAATACGATGGAGAGTGATTTTAGGAACTGTAATGCGATGTCACTGAAGAGATTCTTACGAAGAAACCTGTTTCCAGAGAGTGTTGTATGAAGGTAGTAAAAGGTGGAAAAAAATGCTACATGGAGATTAGAAAGGTGATGTTTCAATTTTATCAACTCAAACGCTTTGCTTCTCAAGTTTCTTTCAGAACTAACGAGGTTTGGGATAGATGTTCTACTGAAGTTGAAAGTCGTTCATCATCTCACTATTAATTATTTTCTAATTGAAGTATTGTTATTAAATATTGGTTTATAACTTGATGTATTATAAAATAATGCTTTGTTATTCTATTTTAACTATATATAATATATATAATAAAATAAAAATTCCATGAGCTCGATTGCATTCCTAACTCTAATACGGTATCTTTAGGAGTCCAAGGTAGTGATTCTTGGTTTAGTATTTTAGTCTATCAAATATTAATTCTAACTGCATATGAATCTTGTTAAACAAAATCATATATTTATATTCTTGAAATTAAAATAAATAATGTTGTTTAGAAATCTAGTATTTTATTAAAAAAATTATAAAAAGCGGGAGAACAACATAAAGAGAAAACTAGGTTACGTGTATTTTTATGATCATAGCTAATGATACAATATGCAAATTTGTAATAACGATTTGATAATTAATTATACAAAGCTCTTTACAATATTTTTCCACAAAAAATGTAGCTTCTTTGTTATTTTTAGACCGTATGCGATGGGATTATCACTAGTTTACGCTATTATATGATGTGGATGTGGTCGATCATAATTATATCTACATAGGCTTATACATATTATCATTCTCATAACAACTATTTAACTTGAGGTTTAATGCATTTTCGTGAAACATTAAGAAAGAGAAGAAAATTAAGCAATTTGTTTGAAACTTGTTAAAGTGAAATTCTCCATCTGTTTGTAATATAATTTATCATTGGCCATTCTTTTTTTTTTAAATTAAAATTCTACAGAAAAGTTAATGTTGATATTAATATTTAGGCTTTTATTAATTGTTCTCTCATTTTGTTTTAAAATATAAGATATTTTTTTTTCAAAAGCGCAAGTCTAATGAAGTTATTTTTATTTAATAATATCATTGAAAATACAAATCTAGAGCAACTTAACCAATTATAAAACATTTTTTAAATTTTAATTGGTAAAAGAACTTTCAGTAGCGAAAAATTTCATCCAAAAATGTGAATATCTTATATTTTAAAACATCAATACTACTTAAAAATCTATCTTGTTTTCTGAAATGATGGGATTATAATTTGTGGTAGATGTGGATAACAATGAATAATATTTTTCCCAATTTATTTAATTCTTTGCAGACCCATATAAAGAAGTTTTAATCCCAATTTTTAAATAAGAGGAGGCCAAACACGATTCAGTTTTTTAAATAGCCAGCAAAAAAACATGACTAAATTAAACTACCTTTGAATCTCTTTCTCCCAAAGAGTAGAAACTACTAAAATGCCAAGCTGTTCTAGAATTGAATTTGGCAATTATGTTTCGTTGTGTGAGGAAAAAGGCTGAAGTACCTTTGGAACCAAGGCTTATAATTCAAGGGAAAACATAAAAGATTAATTAGAAAACCCAATCTAGAGAAGTCTCAATATTAAAAAACCTATATTAAAACTTTTTCCAAGACACAAAGAATATATATTTCCTCTATTATTCTTCTTTGACGGTGTGAGATGTTTCACAACAATTAATACATGAAAAGATTTCATGAAAACATATATTCAAGATTCGGTTAGTTACAATTAATGCATGCAACATATAAGTAAATTAAAAAGAATATATAGATGTTACTTTTAGGGAGAACTGAAATAAATAAATGAATTATGGTGTGTAAAACAACTGAAAAGCTTACTTTAATTAATTAAAATTATCACCAGCATAACACTCAAAGGCAGTCAATTACTATATATATACACAGTTATATATTTTTATAGTAGAAGGCAAAAATAATTAAAATAAGAAAGTTAAAAAGAATAATTATAGAGAATAGAACTTAAAAAAAAAATTATGGCATTTTTCATGACTACCACTGTGGTGACATTTGTGTATCCAAGTTTTGGGCAAAAGAATATTAAAGATGAACCACTGGTTAATCCTGGTCATGATATGGATGCAGTGAAGGCGATCTCTCCTTCTTCGCAAGATTACAATTGGGATATGCTCGAGAACCTCCCAACAAAATACATGATGTATATCGAAACTTGCATGAATACGATGGAGAGTGATTTTAGGAACTGTAATGCGATGTCATTGAAGAGATTCTTACGAAGAAAACTGTTTCCAGAGAGTATTGTATGAAGGTAGTAAAAGGTGGAAAAAAATGCTACATGGAGATTAGAAAGGTGATGTTTCAATTTTATCAACTCAAACGCTTTGCTTCTCAAGTTTCTTTCAGAACTAACGAGGTTTGGGATAGATGTTCTACTGAAGTTGAAAGTCGTTCATCATCTCACTATTAATTATTTTCTAATTGAAGTATTGTTATTAAATATTGGTTTATAACTTGATGTATTATAAAATAATTCTTTGTTATTCTATTTTAAGTATATATAATATATATAATAAAATAAAAATTCCATGAGCTCATTTGCATTCCTAACTCTAATACGGTATCTTTAGGTTTCCAAGGTAGTGATTATTGGTTTAGTATTTTAGTCTATCAAATATTAATTCTAACTGCATATGAATCTTGTTAAACAAAATCATATATTTATATTCTTGAAATTCAAATAAATAATGTTGTTTAGAAGTCTAGTATTTTATTAAAAAAATTATAAAAAGCGGGAGAACAACATAAAGAGAAAACTAGGTTACGTGTATTTTTATGATCATAGCTAATGATACAATATGCAAATTTTTAATAAAGATTTGATAATTAATTATACAAAGCTCTTTACAATATTTTTCCTCAAAAAAATGTAGCTTCTTTGTTATTTTTAGACCGTATGCGATGGGATTATCACTAGTTTACGCTATTATATGATGTGGATGTGGTCGATCATAATTATATCTACATAGGCTTATACATATTATCATTCTCATAACAACTATTTAACTTGAGGTTTAATGCATTTTCGTGAAACATTAAGAAAGAGAAGAAAATTAAGCAATTTGTTTGAAACTTGTTAAAGTGAAATTCTCCATCTGTTTGTAATATAATTTATCATTGGTCATTCTTTTTTTAAATTAAAATTCTACAGAAAAGTTAATGTTGATATTAATATTTAGGCTTTTATTAATTGTTCTCTCATTTTGTTTTAAAATATAAGATATTTTTTTTTTCAAAAACGCAAGTCTAATGAAGTTATTTTTATTTAATAAGATCATTGAAAATACAAATCTAGAGCAACTTAACCAATTATAAAACATTTTTTAAATTTTAATTGGTAAAAGAACTTTCAGTAGCGAAAAATTTCATCCAAAAATGTGAATATCTTATATTTTGAAACATCAAATATTACTTAAAAATCTATCTTATTTTCTGAAATGATGGGATTATAATTTGTGGTAGAGGTGGATAACAATGAATAATATTTTTCCCAATTTATTTAATTCTTTGCAGACCCATATAAAGAAATTTTAATCCCAATTTTTAAATAAGAGGAGGCCAAACACGATTAAGTTTTTTAACTAGCCAGCAAAAAAACATGACTAAATTAAACTGCCTTTGAATCTCTTTCTCCCAAAGAGTAGAAACTACTAAAATGCCAAGCTGTTCTAGAATTGAATTTGGCAATTATGTTTCGTTGTGTGAGGAAAAAGGCTGAGGTACCTTTGGAACCAAGGCTTATAATTCAAGGGAAAACAAAAAAGATTAATTAGAAAACCCAATCTAGTGAAGTCTCAATATTAAAAAATCATATCTTAAAACTTTTTCCAAGACACAAAGAATATATATTTCCTCTATTATTGTTCTTTGACGGTGTGAGATTTTTCACAACAATTAATACATGAAAGGATTTCATGAAAACATATATTCAAGATTCGCTTAGTTACAATTAATGCATGCAACATATAAGTAAATTAAAAAGAATATATAGATGTTACTTTTAGGGCGAACTGAAATAAATAAATGAATTATGGTGTGTAAAACAACTGAAAAGCTTACTTTAATTAATTAAAATTGTCACCAGCATAACACTCAAAGGCAGTCAATTACTATATATATACACACTTATATATTTTGGTAATAGAAGACAAAAATAATTTAAATCAGAAAGTTAAAAAGAATAATTATAGAGAATAGAACTTAAGAAATATTTTATGGCATTTTTCATAACTACCACTGTGGTGACATTTGTGTATCCAAGTTTTGGGCAAAAGAATATTGACGATGAACCACTGGTTAATCCTGGTCGTGATATGGATGCAGTGAAGGCGATCTCTCCTGCTTCGCAAGATTACAATTGGGATATGCTCGAGAACCTCCCAACAAAATACATGATGTATATCGGAACCTGCAAGAATACGATGGAGAGTGATTTTAGGAACTGTAAGGCGATGTCATCGAGGAGATTCTTACGAAGAAACCTGTTTCCAGAGAGTGTTGTGTGAAGGTAGTAAAAGGTGGAAAAAAATGCTACATGGAGATTAGAAAGGTAATGTTTAAATTTTATCAACTCAAACGCTTTGCTTCTCAAGTTTCTTTCAGAACTTAGGAGGTTTGGGATAGATGTTCTACTGAAGTTGAAAGTCCTTCATCATCTCACTATTAATTATTTTCTAGTTGTAGTATTGTTATTAAATATTGGTTTATAACTTGATGTATTATAAAATAATGCTTTGTTATTCTATTATAACTATATATAATATATATAATAAAATAAAAATTCCATGAGCTCATTTGCATTCCTAACTCTAATACGGTATCTTTAGGTTTCCAAGGTAGTGATTGTTGGTTTAGTATTTTAGTCTATCAAATATTAATTCTAACTGCATATGAATCTTGTTAAACAAAATCATATATTTATATTCTTGAAATTCAAATTAATAATGTTGTTTAGCAATCTAGTATTTTATTAAAAAAATTATAAAAAGCGGGAGAACAACATAAAGAGAAAACTAGGTTACATGTATTTTTATGATCATAGCTAATGATACAATATGAAAATTTTTAATAAAGATTTGATAATTAATTATACAAAGCTCTTTGCAATATTTTTCCACAAAAAATGTAGCTTCTTTGTTACTTTTAGACCGTATGCGATGAGATTATAACTAGTTTACACTATTATATGATGTGGATGTGGTCGATCACAATTATATCTACATAGGCTTATACATATTTTCATTCTCATAACAACTATTTCACTTGAGGTTTAATACATTTCCGTGAAACATTAAGAAAGAGAAGAAAATTAAGAAATTTGTTTGAAACTTGTCAAAGTGAAATTCTCCATCTGTTTGTAAAATAATTTATCATTGGTCATTCTTTTTGTAAAGTAAAATTCTACAGAAAAATTAATGTTGATATGAATATTTAGGCTTTTATTAATTGTTCTCTCATTTTGTTTTAAAATATAAGATTTGTTTTTTCAAAAGCGCAAGTCTAAAGAAGTTATATTTATTTAATAAGGTCATTGAAAGTACAAATCTAGAGCAACTTAACCAATTATAAAACATTTTTTAAATTTTAATTGGTAAAAGAACTTTCAGTAGCTAAAAATTTCATCCAAAAATGTGAATATCTTATATTTTGAAACATCAAATATTACTTAAAAATCTATCTCATTTTCTGAAATGATGGGATTATAATTTGTGGTAGAGGTGGACAACAATGAATAATATTTTTTCCAATTTATTTATTTCTTTGCAGACCCATATAAAGAAATTTTAATCCCAATTTTTAAATACGAGGAGGCCAAACACGATTAAGTTTTTTAACTAGCCAGCAAAAAAACATGACTAAATTAAACTACCTTTGAATCTCTTTCTCCCAAAGAGTAGAAACTACTAAAATGCCAAGCTGTTCTAGAATTGAATTTGGCAATTATGTTTCGTTGTGTGAGGAAAAAGGCTGAAGTACCTTTGGAACCAAGGCTTATAATTCAAGGGAAAACATAAAAGATTAATTAGAAAACCCAAGCTAGAGAAGTCTCAATATTAAAAAATCCTATCTTAAAACTTTTTCCAAGACACAAAGAATATATATTTCCTCTATTATTCTTCTTTGACGGTGTGAGATGTTTCACAACAATTAATACATGAAAGGATTTCATAAAAACATATATTCAAGATTCGGTTAGTTACAATTAATGCATGCAACATATAAGTAAATTAAAAAGAATATATAGATGTTACTTTTAGGGCGAACTGAAATAAATAAATGAATTATGGTGTGTAAAACAACTGAAAAGCTTACTTTAATTAATTAAAATTATCACCAGCATAACACTCAAAGGCAGTCAATTACTATATATATACACACTTATATATTTTGGTAATAGAAGACAAAAATAATTAAAATAAGAAAGTTAAAAAGAATAATTATAGAGAATAGAACTTAAGAAAAATTTTATGGCATTTTTCATAACTACCACTGTGGTGACATCTGTGTATCCAAGTTTTAGGCAAAAGAATATCGACGATGAACCACTGGTTAATCCTGGTCGTGATATGGATGCAGTGAAGGCGATCTCTCCTGCTTCGCAAGATTACAATTGGGATATGCTCGAGAACCTCCAAACAAAATACATGATGTATATCGGAACCTGCATGAATACGATGGAGAGTGATTTTAGGAATTGTAATGAAGATGTCATTGAGGAGATTCTTACGAAGAAACCTGTTTCTAGAGAGTGTTGTATGACGTAGTAAAAGCTTGAAAAAAATGCTACATGGAGATTAGAAAGGTGATGTTTCAATTTTATCAACTCAAACGCTTTGCTTCTCAAGTTTCTTTCAGAACTAATGAGGTTTGGGATATATGTTCTACTGAAGTTGAAAGTCCTTCATCATCTCACTATTAATTATTTTCTAATTGAAGTATTGTTATTAAATATTGGTTTATAACTTGATGTATTATAAAATAATGCTTTGTTATTCTATTTTAACTATATATAATATTTATAATAAAATAAAAATTCCATGAGCTCATTTGCATTCCTAACTCTAATACGGTATCTTTAGGTTTCCAAGGTAGTGATTGTTGGTTTAGTATTTTAGTCTATCAAATATTAATTCTAACTGCATATGAATCTTGTTAAACAAAATCATATATTTATATTCTTGAAATTCAAATAAATAATGTTGTTTAGAAATCAAGTATTAATAAAAAAATTATAAGAAGCGGGAGAACAACATAAAGAAAAAACTAGGTTACATGTATTTTTATGATCATAGCTAATGATACAATATGAAAATTTGTAATAACGATTTGATAATTAATTATACAAAGCTCTTTACAATATTTTTCCACAAAAAATGTAGCTTCTTTGTTATTTTTAGACCGTATGCGATGGGATTATCACTAGTTTACGCTATTATATGATGTGGATGTGGTCGATCATAATTGTATCTACATAGGCTTATACATATTATCACTCTCATAACAACTATTTCACTTGAGGTTCAATGCATTTTCGTGAAACATTAAGAAAGAGAAGAAAATTAAGCAATTTGTTTGAAACTTGTTAAAGTGAAATTCTCCATCTGTTTGTAATATAATTTATCATTGGTCATTCTTTTTTTTAAATTAAAATTCTACAGAAAAATTAATGTTGATATTAATATTTAGGCTTTTATTAATTGTTCTATCATTTTGTTTTAAAATATAAGATTTTTTTTTTCAAAAGCGCAAGTCTAATGAAGTTATTTTTATTTAATAAGATCATTGAAAATACAAATCTAGAGCAACTTAACCAATTATAAAACATTTTTTAAATTTTAATTGGTAAAAGAACTTTCAGTAGCGAAAAATTTCATCCAAAAATGTGAATATCTTATTTTTTGAAACATCAAATATTACTTAAAAATCTATCTTATTTTCTGAAATGATGGGATTATAATTTGTGGTAGAGGTAGATAACAATGAATAATCTTTTTTCCAATTTTTTTTTATTTCTTTGCAGACCCCTATAAAGAACTTTTAATCCCAAATTTTAAATAAGAGGAGGCCAAACACGATTAAGTTTTTTAACTAGCCAGCAAAAAACATCCCTAAAAAACATGACTAAAATAAACTACCTTTGAAACTCTTTTTCCCAAAGAATAGAAACTACTAAAATGCCAAGCTGTTCTAGAATTGAATTTGGCAATTATGTTTTGTTGTGTGAGGAAAAAATGCTGAAGTACCTTTGGAACCAAGGCTTATAATTCAAGGGAAAACAGAAAAGATTAATTAGAAAACCCAATCTAGGGAAGTCTCAATATTAAAAAAATCCTATCTTACAACTTTTTTCAAGATACAAAGAATATATATTTACTCTATTATTCTTCTTTGACGGTGTGAGATGTTTTACAACAACTAATACATGAAAGGATTTCATGAAAACATATATTCAAGATTCGGTTAGTTACAATTAATGCATGCAACGTATAAGTAAATTAAAAAGGATATATAGATGTTACTTTTAGGGCAAACTGAAATAAATAAATAAATTATGGTGTGTAAAACAACTGCAAAGCTTACTTTTATTAATTAAAATTATCATCAGCATAACACTCAAAGGCTGTCAATTACTGTATATATATACACACTTATATATTTTGGTAATAGAAGACAAAAATAATTAAAATAAGAAAGTTAAAAGAATAATTATAGAGAATGGAACTTTAGAAATTTTTTATGGCATTTTTCATAACTACCACTGTGGTGACATTTGTGTATCCAAGTTTTGGCCAAAAGAATATTGACGATGTACCACTGGTTAATCCTGGTCGTGATATGGATGCAGTGAAGGCAATCTCTCCTGCTTCGCAGGATTACAATTTGGATTTGCTCGAGAACCTCCCAACAAAATACAAGATGTATATCGGAACCTGCATGAATACGATGGAGAGTGATTTTAGGAATTGTAATGCAGATGTCATTGAGGAGATTCTTACAAAAAAACCTGTTTCCAGAGAGTGTTGTATGAAGGTAGTAAAAGCTGGAAAAAATGCTACATGGAGATTAGAAAGGTGATGTTTCAATTTTATCAACTCAAACGCTTCGCTTCTCAAGTTTCTTTCAGAACTAACGAGGTTTGGGATAGATGTTCTACTGAAGTTGAAAGTCCTTCATCATCTCACTATTAATTATTTTCTAATTGAAGTATTGTTATAAAATATTGGTTTATATGATGATGTATTATAAAATAATGCTTTGTTATTCTATTTTAACTATATATAATATATATAATAAAATAAAAATTTCATGAGCTCATTTGCATTTCTAACTCTAATACGGTATCTTTAGGTTTCCAAGGTAGTGATTGTTGGTTTAGTATTTTAGTCTATCAAATATTAATTCTAACTGGATATGAATCTTGTAAAACAAAATAATATATTTATATTCTTGAAATTCAAATTAATAATGTTGTTTAGAAATCTAGTATTTTATTTAAAAATTTTTTTAAATAGTGGGAGAACAACATAAAAGAAAAAACTGAGGTTACATGTATTTTTATGGTGTGTAGTTAATGATACAATATGCTAATTTTTAATAACGATTTGATAATTAATTATACAAAGGTCTTTACAATATTTTTTCACAAAAAAGTAGCTTCTTTGTTATTTTTAGACTGTATGCGATGAGATTATCACTAGTTTACACTATTATATGATGTGGATGTGGTTGATCATAATTATATCTACATAGGCATATACATATTATCATTCTCATAACAACTATTTCACTTGAGGTTTAATGCATTTTCGTGAAACATTAAGAAAGAGAAGAAAATTAAGCAATTTGTTTGAAACTTGTCAAAGTGAAATTCTCCATCTGTTTGTAACATAATTTATCATTGGTCATTATTTTTTTTAAATTAAAATTCTACAGAAATATTTCACGCTGATATGAATATTTAGGCTTTTATTAATTGTTCTTTCATTATGTTTTAAAATATAAGATTTTTTTTTTTCAAAAGCGCAAGTCTAATGAAATTATTTTTATTTAAAAAGATCACTGAAAATACAAATCTAGAGCAACCTAACCAATTATAAAACATTTTTTAAATTTTAACTGGTTAAAGAACATTCATTAGCGAAAATTACATCCAAAATGTGAATATTTTATATTTTGAAACATCAAATATTACTTAAAAATCTTTCTTTTTCTTCTGAAATGATGGGATTATCATATGTGGTAGAGGTGGATAACAATGAATAATATTTTTTCCAACTTTTTTTTTTATTTCTTTGGAGACCCATATAAAGAACTTTTAATCCCAAATTTTAAATAAGAGGAGGCCAAACACGATTAAGATTTTTTAACTAGCCAGCAAAAAACATCCCTAAAAAACATGACTAAAACAAACTACCTTTGAATCTCTTTTTCCCAAAGAATAGAAACTACTAAAGTGCCAAGCTGTTCTAGAATTGAATTTGGCAATTATGTTTCGTTGTGTGAGGAAAAAGGCTGAAGTACCTTTGGAACCAAGGCTTATAATTCAAGGGAAATAGAAAAGATTAATTAGAAAACCATATCTAGGGAAGTCTCAATATTAAAAAATCCTATCTTAAAACTTTTTCCAAGATACAAAGAATATATATTTCCTCTATTATTCTTCTTTGACGGTGTGAGATGTTTCACAACAATTAATACATGAAAGGATTTCATGAAAACATATATTCAAGATTCGGTTAGTTACAATTAATGCATGCAACGTATAAGTAAATTAAAAAGGATATAAAGATGTTACTTTTAGGGCGAACTGAAATAAATAAATGAATTATGGTGTGTAAAACAACTGAAAAGCTTACTTTTATTAATTAAAATTATCACCAGAATAACACTCAAAGGCAGTCAGTTACTGTATATATACACACTTATATATTTTGGTAATAGAAGACAAAAATAATTAAAATAAGAAATTTAAAAGAATAATTATAGAGAATGGAACTTAAGAATATTTTTATGGCATTTTTCATAACTACCACTGTGGTGACATTTGTGTATCCAAGTTTTGGCCAAAAGAATATTGACGATGAACCACTGGTTAATCCTGGTCGTGATATGGATGCAGTGAAGGCAATCTCTCCTGCTTCGCAGGATTACAACTTGGATTTGCTCGAGAACCTCCCAACAAAATACATGTTGTATATCAGAACATGCATGAATACGATGGAGAGTGATTTTAGGAATTGTAATGCAGATGTCATTGAGGAGATTCTTACGAAAAAACCTGTTTCCAGAGAGTGTTGTATGAAGGTAGTAAAAGCTGGAAAAAAATGCTACATGGAGATTAGAAAGGTGATGTTTCAATTTTATCAACTCAAACGCTTCGCTTCTCAAATTTCTTTCAGAACTAACGAGGTTTGGGATAGATGTTCTACTGAAGTTGAAGGTCCTTAATCATCTCACTATTAATTATTTTCTAATTGAAGTATTGTTATAAAATATTGGTTTATAAGATGATGTATTATAAAATAATGCTTTGTTATTCTATTTTAACTATATATAATATATATATTAAAATAAAATTTCATGAGCTTATTTGCATTCCTAACTCTAATACGGTTTCTTTAGGTTTCCAAGGTAGTGATTGTTGGTTTAGTATTTTAGTCTATCAAATATTAATTCTAACTGCATATGAATCTTGTAAACAAAATCATATATTTATATTCTTGAAATTCAAATTAATAATGTTGTTTAGAAATATAGTTTTTTA